TCTGGAGGTACCCTGACACCAGCAGATGCTACTACTTCACAAATTTCTTAATATCTTGAATGCTCTTGTTTTCCAACACTCAGCTCACCCCACCCCTTCATTATCTGCCACCTACAAATTCAAAGTCTAGTTTCAGAGGCAGAAAGCTCTCTTTCTCTCTAATATCATATTTACAATTACTTACCATGACTTTCTGCTGGAGGTTTTCTGTTAGCCAACGTTTAGCACATCATCAAGATAGAACTATGTTCATACAAAATCTCGGTACAGCATCAGCAAAAATGGCAGAGTGGAGAATTTCAGTGGGATCTCTCCATAGAGCAAGAAGCAAATGGCCACAAATTGTAAATACACTTTCCCAGAATTCCAGAAACCAATGGAAACCTTAGCAATCACGTGTCTAGTCAAGAAGATTGACTAAACCTTGAGATTGAGCTTTGAGATGCTCTAAGTCTCATTCCATCCCATGTTCTCCAGAGAAGGAGAGGATTTCAAAGACCTTGGCCCAAGATCCAGACACAGGTACAAAGTACCAGGAAAAATACAACAGACCTTATTCTCAAGAACTGGACTTGTCTGTTCTGACCAGGTTGGTGACTGCAGGAGGGGGGAGGCATAAAAAGACTGCCTTTCTCTTTCTCTCCAGGAACTTCCCCAATGCTGAGGGAAGCCAAAGAGCAGTTCTGTGAGAAACATGTCAAGCATGTAGATGTCCCTTCTCCCTGGGGCAAGGGATAAACTGCCAGGAGCCACCACCAGGCTAACGAAAATTAATGACACACAGGCGCAGCCTAGAAGCCTGAGAGAGCACGGGCTTAAAATGCACCTCCATATCTCTGGAAGTCTGATGTCCTTGCCGACATTTCTACAGGCGCAGCCTAGAAGCACCTACACATCTCTGGGAATCTGATGTCCCGGCCTACATTTCCACAGGTGCAGCCTAGAAGACTTAGCACGGGCTTAGAATGCACCCACACATACCTGGGAATCTGGTGTCCCTGCCGACATTTCCACAGGCGCAGCCTAGAAGCCTGAGAGAGCATGGGCTTAGAATGCACCCACACATCTCTGGGAATCTGATGTCCCTGCCTACATTTCCACAGGGCTTGGAGGAGTTGATCCAGTGCACTGCGTAGAAAGAGTCCTCACATTTGCCTGCAAACTTCAAGAAGTCCTTGTTTTTTACTGCTGAGTAGTACTCTAATATGTATATATTCCATACTTTCTTCATCCATTCTTCATTTGAAGGGCATCTAGGTTGTTTCCAGGTTCTGGCTATTACAAACAATGCTGCTATGAACATAGTAGAGCATAT